TAAGAAGGAAGCTGGCCTAGCCCTGGCCGGTTTGGCTCAGCGGTTAGAGCGTCCACCTGCAGTCCGGAGAGGCCCGGGTTCGGTTCCTGCTAAGGGCACGCACCTCGGTTGCAGTTTGTCCCCGGCCCTGGTTGGTCGTGTGGATGGCAGCCACTCGATGTGTCCCTTTCACGTCGATGTTTCCCTCTCTCTCTCTCTCTCCCTCTCTCTCCCTCCCCCTCTGTCTGTACAAAAAATGGAAAAATGTCCTCGGATGAGGATTAAAAAAAAAAAAGAAGTTAAGCTGGCCTGGATGATTTGAGTTTTTCAAAGCTCAGGTTCTGAGACTCTGACCCCAGTGAAGCCTCTCTTGCCCCGGGAACAGTCCATGGATCGAGGGTTTCCAGGCACCTTGCCCACCATTGCCCTGTATCCACAGGACCTTCAGGAACGGTGGCCCCGATGCAGCTAGTTCTGAGTCAGAGGGAGCAGCTGGGCTAGATGGGACAGTGTCCACTGGAGTAACAGCTGACCTACACGTTTAGCCTGGACTGGTCCTCCTTGGACGGTTCTGGGGGACAGGCTGTCATACCTGGTATGTCATTTACTTAGAAGTATCTGAAGCTGACAGGGTAACTTAAGAGGAGCAGGAGTTTATTGAAAGGATATGGAGAGCTCACAGATTCCAAGGGAAGCTAGAAAACCAATTTGACAGAATAGGGCAGAAGCTAAGGTATAGTCTCTTCAGGGCCCACTTCAGCGTGAATCAGCTTTAACAAGCCTGCAGCCTCTCTAAGATCAAACTCCCAGAAGAGAGTCAGATTGGCCAGCTTTGGTCCGTGCCTGCCCCTTGACTGGGCAATTTTATTGGTGGGACCTAATGGCGGAGGGTCAGGTAGGAGGGAAGATATTTTACTAAAAGAAGGTGCTGGATGATGGGCAGGTCCCACATCAGAAGTTCACCAGGAGACTTCTCAGACAGATGATTCTGAAGCCTACTCCAACTTTAGAGGCAAAGGCGAGAGAGGGGCTCAGCAACTCAGCGCAAAGCTGACGGTGTGACACTCGGCACACCATCGAAAAGTTTTTCTTTACACAATTGGTGATACCCTCTTTGAAGAAACTTAGAAATCCCAGAAAAGTAAAAGAGAATTTTAGAAGTTATCTGTAATCCCATTACTTAGAAATAACCACAGTTAACTAACTCTGCAGGGTTTTTCTCTCCTTCTATGAATCGTTAACATAGTCGAAGACACACTGTGTGTATCATTTTGTATTTGATGCTGAAATACCGCGTGGATCCAGCAGCTGCTAGAGGAGGGTCTTTGTAACACTGGCCCAGCGAATGGGTGTGATCTGCAGCCGCCTCATCTGGTAGAGGGGGCAGAGGAGACCCTTTTAGGCTCATAGTTCCACCAGTACAGGTGATCAGCATCCACTGTGCCCAGCCTGGGAGGTTGCCCAGGCCTGCCCTCCACCACAGGGGAGGTCAGTCTGGACACCAGCCAAGGTGAAGGGGAGCTACCACGGACTAGGTCCTGTGTCAGGAAGGGCCCCCCACCCTCATGTTAGAGCTCACAGAAGCTCCTTGTGTTTATACTTCAGGAAACTATGACTCTAGATCATTCCTGTGGGTTTCTGCAGGTTTTGATGAGTTTCTCTATTATCCTTCTGACATGAATAATGGTCTTTAAAGGAGTCACCACTGCCTTTGTTAAGTCACTTGAAATGATGTCAAGAATATGCACCATGATGAAGAGTAAAATCACTAGAAGGATAGGATTGTGGGAGAATCGTAGTTAAAATGAAGCTGTAGCCATCTTCATAATATGCATGTATGTACAAATGTGTACACTTAAATCCCCAAACCTATGTATTTAAGAATTGAAAACTGAGAGCTTGCTTGTGTTAACCTTCACTGACATTTGCTAAAGGATGGGATTCATGGTGATATTAGCGTTCAGAAGTCTATCACTTGAAGCAAGAGAAATCTGTACAACTCCTGCAGTGAGCTCTCAGGAAAGAATACGCCGTATTCCTGTTAACAGAGTCCACTCTCAGACTTGGGTGAAATCACTCTTGAAAGACTTCAGCATTTGTCCATAGAGGAGTGTTACTCATCTTTGCTCATCATCTCATGTGACTCAAGGGCCAGCCTCCCATTCTAATACCTCCAGGCAAACTTGTTTTCTTTACTAAGACACTTCATCTCACGGAAAGCCCCTAGGTCAAGGCTAGGGGACTCTGGGGAAGGCTGGGCTTGGTGCAGTGATACTCTAGGGACTCGAGTGTAGGGGCTCTTACCCTCTGCTCCTTCACGTCTCTCATTTCTTCTTGCTGTTCCTCAGGAGTCAGCCTCTTCCTCTTCCAGTCTCTTCGTTCTCCTAAATGATCTTGCCAACTCCAGAGTTCCAACTACCTATGAAACTGTGGCTCTTAAGTACATATTCCTAGCCCAGCTTCTTCTCAAGTTCCAGACCCACTTACCCACAGGCTACTCCACATTTCTACCTTTTTTTTTTTTAATCCTCACCTGAGGACACTTTTGTTTGTTTTTATCCTCACCTGAGGACTTTCTTGCTTTATCTTCAGATAGAGCAAGAGAAAGAGAGAGAGAGAAACATTGATGTGAGAGAGACACATCAACTGGCTGCCACCCACACGACCCCAACCATGGCTGGGGACAAACTGCAACTGGGGTATGTGCCCTTAGCGGGAACCGAACCCGTGTTTCTCTGGACTGTGGGCTGACATTCTAACCACTGAGCCAAACCAGCCAGGGCTCCACATTTCTACCTTAAAGTTGTCACATACACCTCAAGGTCAGCATGTCCTCCAAACTTACTCTTCTTCCTGTGTCTCTTACCTCAGCCAATGGCACCATGATTCTGCCAAGCTAGAAACCTAGGACTCATTACTCCTTCACTCTATCTTCCTGCTATCCACTAAATTCTGTTTAATTCACTAATTTGGTCATTCAGTGAATAAATCTGAAACCCCTCACATGTGCCAGGCATAGTGGTAGGTAACTAATGCTGAGCAAAACAAGACAAGGTGCCCTGACTGGGTAGCTCAGTTGGTTAGAGAGTTAACCCGATATGCCAAGGTTGTAGGGTTCAGTCCCTGGCCAGGGCACAGACAAGAATCAACCAATGAACATATAAACGAGTGGAACAACAAATAAATGTTTCTCTCTCTCTCTCTCAAAAAAAGACAAGGTTCCTGCCTTTGGGAAAATAGACACATGATGGTATGAAAGAAATATGCAATATGAGTGATTAGTTTGGGGAAGGGAAATTTAAGAGGAGATCAGAAGAATTCCTTGGGAGTTAACCAGGTCAAGGACATGGTATGCAAGTTCAATATCTAAGCAGCCAGATCAGTGTGCCCACAAGTCCTAGATGAGACAGAGTCAGTGAGACTTCAAGGAAGGCCACTGTAGCTCAAGCATAATGAATTGCAGAAATAATGGTGAGAGGGGAGACTGGAGAGGTAGGTAGAGGTCCTATTTTTCTGCACTTTGTAAAGATTTTGGCCCTTCTAAAAGGACAGAAAAGGCATTGAAAACTTTTTAGGTGTTAAGGAATGACAGATTTATATATGAATTCTCCTAGCTGCCACTTGGAGAATGGATTGGGTGGGGCCTGAATGGATGTGGGGAAAGTGATCCCATTGGCCTTCTTCTTGCCATCCCTATAGCCAGGACTTCCAGTCCAGACTTTGGCTGTCTCTTGCCTTTCAGCAGAAGCCACCTCTACTGTTGTCCCCTTACAATGTACCTTGAGTACGGCAGTCAGACTTACCTTTCAACTTCTCTCAACAACAAAGAAAATCAGTGATTCTTCATTGTGCTCAAAATGAAGTCCAAACTCTTTAGCTGGCCCACAAGTCCCTTCAAATCGGGCCTTCAAATTTGTCTCCTTCTCCAATGTCACATCCAACTATCTGTCCTCAAGTACCCTATGTCTCAGTCCGTTAAAAGGGTGTTTGCGAGCTGGACAGCAGTTCGAGGGGAAAAGCCCCAGTGCTTGAGCCAAGGCTGAGGCTGAGCCTCGGGCCCAGCATGTTGATCTAGTTGGGAGCACAGGAAACCTGCCCAAGTGGAGGCTTCAGGCAGCTGGCTACAAGTCTATCAAGGAAACACTCAGGGACAAGGCACCTAGAGGCTTGGACACAGACCAGAGGTGTAGTTGCTGGGCAGTGGTGACCAAGGACAGGAGCCTGAGCATTGAGAGACGGGCACTTAAAAGCAGGACCCTGGCCACTGGATGTACCAGAAGAGCCAGGACTCCAGCTCATAAAGAAAGGGCAGGACTCAGCCCAGGCCATTGTGGCTCAGCTTGCTGGAGCATCATCCCTTCCCACACACCAAAGGGTTGCGGTTCAATTCCTCCCACGGCACATAACCCAGGTTGTGGGTTCAATCCCCAGTCAGGGTGCATATGGGTGGCAACCAACTGATGTTTCTTTCTCTCTCTCTTCCTCTCTCTCTCAAATCAATAAAATCATATCTTGGGTGAGGATTTAAAAGAAAAAAAGAAAGGGCAGGACTTGGAGACTTGGGGCTCAGAAGGTCAAGAACAAAGGCTAACTTGAGGATAACTTTAGAGAATTACGGGAAAGTTCTTTATATTTTATGTATAAAGAGACTAGGAGCCAGAATGAATCCCAGAGTGTAACAGGCAAGGCTAAGCAACAAGTCAAGGTTGGAGCAGCTAGAAGATCATAGAGAAAGGAGCCAAGCAGCTCCTTCCATCACCTACACTGAGATCTTCACAGTCTTGGCCAGTCCTCAGGGCAGACACACACCAGTCAAGGACACTAAAGGTTAGCCCCATGAACCCCAAAGGGCTGTGAATGTTTGGGGGACCCATCCAACTTCAAGGTGAGTGAAATCCCAACATTAGTATAGTTCTGAGAGTAGCTTTATAACTCTAAGGAGGGTCTCTGGAGACCATGTCTGTGTACGGTTCACATGGCAACCGAACAACTATGACATACTTAGAGGGTGGTGAGGTCATAGAACACAAGCTTTAAAGTAAGTGAAACATGTGTGCCTCCTTTATTTTTAAAAGAAACTTCTGAGAAGAGCTTAGAACAATTTTTTCCCCCGAGTGCCATTTCCCAAAGGTACTCACAGAACAATAAGGTGTGACTGTAATGGCTGCACTGAGTTGTCTTTTGGACAGCGTTAGAAGGGACATAAAGAAGGTGGACAGAGAACTGAGGCAATTGAGATGCATCGACGAATTCAGCACGCGATGCCTGTGTGACCTGTACATGCACCCGTACTGCTGCTGTGACTTGCACCCGTACCCGTACTGCCTATGCTACTCAAAGCGCTCGCGCTCCTGCGGCCTGTGCGACCTCTACCCGTGCTGCCTGTGTGATGTCAAGCTTTACTGCCTGCGCCCATCCCTCCGAAGCTTGGAGAGGAAAGCCATTAGAGCCATAGAAGATGAAAAGAGAGAGCTTGCCAAGTAAAAGAACTTTTTAAGATGTTTATAGTTGGTAGATTAGCCTTATAGGTTGGAATAAGGGGGGAAATGTGACAATCGAGACTTGAACAAAGATGTAGAGGGTTTGAGATAATGACTCTGGTGGCTTAGCAAAGATTTAAGAAAAGAGTAAATGGGTCTGTGATGGGAATTATGAGATTCTCAAAAGACACTGTAATGATGTCAATTGGCGGGGCTGTTGTTCGTTTATAACAGGAGTGCCAACATGATAAATAATATGGCCTTAATGAGGGAAGGAAACGGGGGGTATCATTAAAAAGCTATTGGAAGCAGTGAGCTACACATTTTTTCTGGGTATGAATAAAGTGATTTGAGTATATTTGGACTTACAGAAATGACTCCAGGAGAAGTAATAATAATTGATCAAATCCTTAATGTTTGCCACAGGCTTTAAGAGCAGGGGAGCAAATTGAACAATAGAGGCATTTCCTGGGTTTTGTTGGAAAGGAAATCTTTCTCTCATTCCCCAACTTCAGACAAAGACTTAAAATTCATCCAGAGTTGGACCTATTATGTCAGCCTCTCCCTCCAACTCTGGAAAAGGTTGTGCAAATAACTACAGAACTGAGTCTCAGCTTCCAGAGCAGAATTGAAAAGGTTTTAATTGAATTGGGTAATTTTAAAAGTCTTTATTTTTTAATCCTCACTTGAGGATATTTTTCCATTGATTTTCAGAGAGGGAGGGAGGTGGGAGAGAGAGAGAGACATCGATGTGAGAGAGATACATCTCATTAATTGGTTGCCTTCTGCACAACCCTGACCAGGGCCAGGATCGAACTGCAACTGAGGCATGTGCCCTTGACCAGAATCAAACCCTCAACTCTTTGGTCCACAGGCCGATGCTCTAACTGCTGACCCAAACTAGCCAGGGCTTAAAAGTCATTAAAAATTTTTTTTTATTATATTTTCTTTTTTGGCCTGGAGAAAGCTTTCCTTTTCTTACTTTCCCCATATGTCATTTAGTCTGTTACTATTGTTGAAAAAAAAATGGTTGGAAGCACAGTCACCTGGTGAAATAAATGCTGGTTCATCCATACATTGGAATGATCATATAGATGTAAAAAGGGTTGATGAAGCATTTTATGTATCGATATAGTAAGTGAAAAAAACAAGGTGCAGAAACACTATTTAATGTGCACAAATAGATAAGTATTTTTGTTGAACTATATTTGATGTATAACATTTTTTTAAATAAAGGTAGACAATATGTTAATTTGATAGATTTATATATTGTAATATGATTTCCATTGTAGCGATAATTAGTATCTCTATCACATTACATAATTACATAAAATGTTTTAGTGGTTGGAATAACTAAGTTCTAGTCAAGTTCGATGATTATAATACAATATTGTTATCTATGTTCCCTATACTGTGCTAATATTAGATCTCTAGAACTTATTTACTACTCATTGCAAGTTTGTATCTTTAAACAACATTGTCCTATCCTGATGATAAATTAATAGAGAGACAGAAAGAGAAAGAGAGAGAGACAGAGCAAGACCCTTGACAACAGTGACAGTGATGTTTCACTGGAAAGGGCAACAAGGCAATTATTGTCCATGTCATCAGTCACCAAAGGTCAGGAACAAGCCTCCCTTAGTAGAGCAGGACAGGATTATTGCCTATAGACTCATCTACATTCAATTTTAACCAATTTTTATTTTTACTCCTTAGAGTATCAAGTTACAAAACTTATGCACATTGAATCAGGGATTCTTTTGTAGTATTTGGTCTAAATGAAGGGTGAGCAGATCTGTGTCCACTCTCCCTGTACTTCTGAATACTTGACGACCTCTGACCCCAGTCCTCTCAGCCTTTGTCTCCGGCTGGCCCTGCTCCCCAGACTCTTCAGGGCAGACGCCTCTGTTTCTTACCATCTGGGCACTTCCAGGAGGCCCTATTTCTCAACTTCATGCTTAATTCTCAGCAATGTGATTTATACACGAGGTGATGTTTTCTATGGTTTGTGATACTCTTCCTGACAATATCTGGATTTTTGCTCTATTTTTTTCTGTGCCTGCAGCAGTACATGAAGCTGGTGATGTCTTTACATTATTTCCCAGATCTCTAAACTGACAGATTCATTTTATTTTATTTTTCATTCATTCATTCATTCATTCATTCATTCATTCATTCATTCATTCATTTATTTATTTTTGGTATGTGCCCGTAGCGGGAACTGAATCCGGGACTCTCTGGTCCACAGGCCAATGCTCCAGCCGCTGAGCCAATCCAGCCAGGGCTCATAGATTCATTTTAGAAGTGACCTCAGACGTGCCCTCTTGTATCTCCTCTCAGCCACTTTTCTTCCAGAACATTCATACCACCTTGTGAAACCCTCCTGTGCTCTATTTCTGACAGCTTGACATTTTACTATCCTAAATATTCAATTTTCCTGAATATGGATGAAAATGTCAAACCCTTATCTAGCCCCAATCCCAGAGGATTCTCACTGTTACAATTTTTTCTTCCAGTGAAATGCCTCTTTTTTTTTAATCTCTCTAAGAGATAACTCCCAACCCATGACTAAATAGATCCAGAAATATCATGTTGATTCAATTTTTTAAAACAATTTTTGGTGTGAAACATTGCCCAAGGCTTTTTGAGTTCAGAAATCATATTCTCATGACCTTTGCTCCCTTAAAGAATGCTAGCGGTTTGCTTAGGTGTGACGTGTCCTTTCAGATGTCAGGCTGTGTTGTCCAGAGGGTTCTTTGCAAACCAGGAATTAAGATTCCGTGGTCTGCAGTTGCCATGGCCCCACTGGAACTGTGCTCTGTGTGGAAGTCAGTCTTCTCTGTCTCCGGGTGCTCCTTTAATAACTGATAGGAAGAGCTGGCCAACGTTTAATTCCCCCAAGAGTTTCTTAAGCATTCCTGAGTGTATGTTATTTGATTGATGTGTGTGCCTGCATATTTGTGTGCATGTGGGTGTTGTATTTTTTAAAACTGGGTATAGAAAGTCCAATCCATTTCCATTGTTTACTGAGCAGCCGTTTCAAGAGACATGTTACATAAAGATTTTAAAAAAGAGAGAGAGAGACACGTTAGCAGTCTCTTCCTTAGTAGAGACCCAAGTAAATACTTTTGTTTCTTTAGCTTCTTGGTATTCTCTTTGCCCCACCAAATTAACGTTTGCACAGCAAGCACACACCACCTGCTTCCCCGACTCTTCCTTCTTCTTCTGGACTTAGAAGGACTGAAATCACTCAGCTTGGTTTCCTTTGTAAGCAGCTCTGCAACCAACACAATTTGGTTTGCACCTCATCCTCCGCCACACCTCCCGGACTCTGTCCTCTGCACTAAAGTGGGAGGAACAAGCAACAGCCAGCCACCACTCAATCCTGCCCTTCGGAGTTTAGTGTCTAAGTAATGACGCCCCGTTTTGACTCTGACTCCTGGTAGCAGTCTTTTTGTTTTAATCCTCACCCAAGGACATTCTTGCATTTATCTTCAGACAGAGTGGGAAAGAGCAAGGGGGGAAGCGAGAGAAAGAAATATTGACGTGAGAGAGACACATCGAGTGGTTGCCGCCCACACAACCGGGGACAAACTGCAACCGAGGTACGTGCCCTTAGCGGGAACCGAACCCGGGACTCTCTGGTCCACGGGCCATCACTCTAACCGCTAAACCAAACTGGCCAGGGCCTGGCAGCAGTGTTTATGGACAAATTCAGCTCAATATGCAGCTGCACCACGGGTGCAGGGGCCTCAAGCCTGCACCTTTACTGACGCCTGGAAAATGGTTCTGAGACTGCACTTCCTTCCACTCACCACTGACACTGGCCTGAGTCTCAACGAAAAATTCCCTTGAAGATCCCCACACCAGGCACTCCATCTTCTGAAAACCTCAAAAACTTGCCTTCTCATTTCTTTCCTGGTTTACCCCTCACGCTCTGAGAGAAGGGTTTTCACTGAATCACTCTTACTCTTAAGGCTGATGACGGCCATCCCTCAGGGTGACTTCTTTTTGGGTTTAGCAGTGCCTGGCCCAGTTTCAAGCCCTCAGGGAAACCCTTCCCTCCCCACCCCCTGACTCAGAAGCCTCGGGCTGGTTAGAGAGGAGAGTCTCGGCGCTCTGTGGCGGGTGGAAGGCTGACAGGAGAGCACTTCTGTTTCCCTCCGTGGAAGCCGGCTGGGCCTCTGAGCCCTCTCATCACAATCTCTTTATACCCACAGGTCTCTGAGCCCAGTCACCCCAGGACAGCAGGGGTAGGAGCTGCTGCCCATCTAGGCCAAGTGCATGTCTACTATTTGGTTTGACCTTGTTTTATTTTCGGTTTGGTTTTGTTAATCCTCACCGGAAGATATTTTTCCATTGATTTTTTGTTTTAAGATAGAGTGGAAGGGGTCCGGGGGGAGAGAGATACATTGATGTGAAAAAGACACATCGATTGGTGCCTCCCATGTGACCCCGACTGGGGCTAGGGATCGAACCTGCAACCAGGTACGTGCCCTTGACCAGGAATCTAACCCACCACCCTTTGGTCCATGGGCCAAAGCTCTTAACTGCTGAGCCAAACCAGCCAGGGCATGGTTTGACCTTGTTTAATGATGCAGGATTTGGGGCTTGGTCATTTAAAGCCTCAGATTTCGGGAAAGACTGCATAAGGCGGAGCCTGGTACAGCCTGAAAGACTTACCGCTTATTGAGTGAAAACTATGTCCCTCAAACTTTCACTTCGTTCAATCCTTGTACGGTCTTGGCCACCTGACAGATGATGGAACAGACGTAGCAGCCGTGTTCTTGACCGCCAGGAGGTGGGAGATTCAGGACCGGAGGCCAGGTTAGCCTCGTCTGGCCAGTGGTTCTCAGAGTGGTCTCTGGACCAGTGGTGAGAGCGCCACCCGGAACTTCTCAGAGATGCAGCTTCTCCGCTCCCTGGTGGACCTTCTGAGTCAGAAGCTTGGGGGCGGGAACCAGCCCCCCGTTTTAACAAGCTCCGTTGGGGACTCAGATGCACCCACATTGTGCTACTCTGCTCCTGCAGGGTGACTTTGTTCTTCAGTATCAACCAAAACCTGGAGAAGACAGACAAGGCCGAAAAAGGGAAGAGGGAGAAGAAGGAAGAGAAGAGGAATCCAGTTTAATAGATCTTAGGAAGGGGTCTAAATTAAGAGAAAAAGCAAAGTACTTCAAGGACCACTAGAGAAAGACATACTTCCCTTTGCTCTTGGGTAAAGACAGGCCTTTTTGGCATCTTCAGTACTTCATGCATCACCAGGCCGGACCTCATTTGCATCCTTGTGAAGATGGCTGGCTATATTGCTCATCATTGCTGGGGCAGTATGTGTCATATTCAGGAGCATGGTCATATATTCAGGGGAAATTCAGCTTCAGTCGGGAGAAGAGGTGGCAGACAGACACTGGCTGTCCACTCACTGTACCCCAGCTTTCCAAGAGGCTTCTGCAACAAACCAAAGGGGCTGGTTTCCCCATGTTTACTGTGGCTAAACTTCATCCTCACGATAAGTATAGGGGGCGGTCCCCACAGAGGAAACTCCCATGTAGGATCATTGATACATCTCTAGGCAGGACTTGACCAAGTTGCAAGTTCAGAATTAAGTCTGATGAGTAAAATGTGGCTCTGGCAATTTCTCCTAAACCCACATGTCCTCACTGATAAGCCCTGACCTAGAAGCAAAAGGAAGAAGAAACCTGACCTTGCAAAGACATTTTAGGCAAGTCCCTGAAGGTCCACAATGGAGAGATTCCTGTGCAGCTGCTGCAGGGCCAGAGGGCACAGTGATGGGAATAGAGGGCGAGAGGGAATCTAAGCAGTAGAATACGTAAAATTGGACCCCATGATGCAGGCCACTAAGAGGAGGAGATGGATCTGGGAGTCAGCTGTGGCTTATAGATCTTCCAGATTCACCTCCTGCAGAGGGCCTGGGGCTTAGGTAGAATCAGTCATGGCAGTAGCCAGGTCTTGCCATCCTGATTGGGGTTCTTGGTCATTCTTTGGGAGGCCCAGCCCTGCCTTCATGGAGGGCTTTGATGTTTTTTATCTCCAACTAGAAGGTCTGGAGCTGAACAGAAGAGCTTGAATCTCAGCCCACACCTACCAACAGAGATTCCTGAGAGATCTGGGGACAGTCATTCTGCTCTGCACTTGACTCTTGGCTTTGGCTGTTGGAGCTTCGAGCCTGTGCTCCATCCACAGAGGGCATGGTGCACCTTTGGGTGCTATTCTCTGTCCTTCGGGGGAGATAGGGTGCTCTTTCTCTTGTTCTCACAGAGAGACATACAGATGTTAAAGTCTAATTCTCTTCCTTTCTTCTTAGGGGCCTATGGGTACCCTGGCACACTCAGGGCATAAAAAATGTCTGGGCCCCATACGACCCCCAGGTTCCTTGAGATCAGGGGTGGAAATGGAGCTGAATGACTGTCACAGTCCTCTGGGTGCTTTGCATTAATTTTCTGTTGGCCTCAGCATTTTGTAGGACAGCATTCTGTATGACCATTTTGAAATTAGCCACTAAGAACCTTGGTTTATAACCTTCAGTACAAGGGCTCACATTGCTGTTAAACCAATCATGTTAGGGCTTATCAAGTAACAAAGACAGATTCAAAGCAACATGTAGAGCATGATTTCTTAAGAACACACTAAAACCTATTTATATGTAGAATACACACACACACACAAGTCTACCCCGAATGTTAAATGTTATATAGGATTATGGGTATTTTTTTAAATATAGCATCTTTTTGCTTATCTGTATTTTCTGAGTTTTCTACAATGAACTTGTATTACTTATGTAACAAAAATATGTAAGTGTATAAACAAAATTCAGTATAAAAAGTAAGAATTAAAAATGTATCACAGCCCTGGCTGGTTTGGCTCAGCGGTTAGAGCGTCGGCCTGCAGTCCAGAGAGACCCGGGTTCGGTTCCTGCTAAGGGCATGTACCTCAGTTGCAGTTTGTCCCCGGCCCTGGTTGGTCATGCGGGTGGCAGCCACTTGATGTGTCCCTTTCACGTTGATGTTTCTCTCTCTCTCTCTTCCTCTTTCTCCCTCCCTCCCACTCTATCTGAACAAAAAAGTGGGAAAAAAATGTCCTTGGGTGAGGATAAAAAAAAGTATCACAAACCAATAACCCAATCGTTGAGTCCAGACTCCCCAAACAGAAAGAAGTTCCAGCAATCACAATTTCCAAGGCCTTCCTTTGGAGACCAAGATATAAGATTTGCCAGGACTTCAAACACAGATTTTTTAAATATTAAGGGATAAAAAGAGACCATTTTAGAGCATTAAGTTGTCTTTGGAAGGATCAGGCAATTAGAAAATGGAGCCCGAGGCGCACCAGAGCACACAGGACGCAGGCAGGCTGCAGTGACTGAGAGTTCCGTCTAACTGAGGGCTGAAATCATAACCTTGCCATTAACAGGCCTGAATTTGAATCCAGACTCTGCTATTCACCACCTTTACCTTCTCCTCATCTGTAAATGGTGATAATTACATCTGCATTGTAGGGTTATTATGAAGATTAAACAAAACAATGCCTTTACCAGTTTACCATTTTCCATGGTATGGGGGGGGGACCCCAACGTCTTAATTATGTGCCAATCACTATTATAAATACTTTTTATTCATTAACTAATTTAGCCTCAACAACACTAGAAGTAGGTCTCAGATTTACAGATGAGGAAACAGAGGCACCGAGATTGAGTAACTTGTCCACATGGCAGAGACAAGATTTGAACCTAAATAGTCTGGTTCCAGAGCCTGTGCTCTTCAGCCTTCCCCTTACTACCTCTTGATGTATCATACGTGGCTGATCAGTGTGAGCTATTGTTATTGTTGTTCTACTAAGGAATTACACACAGGACTGCTGAGCAGCAGTAAAGCAGCTCCATAGGAACCATGGAGATCTGCTCCAGGGGCCACAACCGGTAGTATTTACCAATCAGCCTGGTGGGAGAAAGAGAAAAAACTACACTTAATGTGTAGTGTTTACCAATTTCCATGGTGTAAATATTCTCACCATGACATACTTCAAGCTATCAACATAAAGTTATTGAATGAGGAGGTGGGGAAGGGAGGTACACAATCAACCCTTGCAGACTGGTAGGATCCATCCAGCACACAGCACCTCCAAGCCAGCTTCCCTGCTGGGACCAGGCGTCCAGAGTCTGGACAGCCAGGCCCTAGCATCCTACCTTGTCGTTTGCTGATGGAGTGTTCAGGTTGAGTCTGTGTGATGGTAGCACCAGTCCTGTGGATTATTGAGGCTGAATTCTGAGGCTGACAGCCAACATTAAAATGCAAATTTTAAATGGTATCTTATCAGTTGGATCCCCTTAAAAAACAAACTCTAGCCCAGCTGGTATGGCTCAGGGGTTGGGCATCGACCCATGTACCAAGGGGTCGCCAGTCTGATTCCCAGTCAGGGCACATTCCCAGGTTGTGGGCCAGATCCCCAGTGGGGGGTGTGCAGGAGGCAGTCAATTGATGTTCTCTTCTCATTGATGTTTCTCTCTCTCTCCCTCTCCCTCTCCCTTCCTCTCTCTCTGAAATCAATAAAGAAAAAAACAAAAAACAAAATTCTACTACATATAGTAGTAGTAGTAATAATGACCATGGTAATAATTAAGCAGAGTTTATAATGTGCCAAGCACAATGTTAAGCACAATACATAATTTCATTGAGCCCTCCAACACTATGATGTAAGTACTATTATTATTTTCACTTTACAGATGAGGAAATTGAGGCACAGGGAGGTTAAGGAACCCGCCCAAGTTTCCTTAACTAATAAGAGGAGGAGCTGGGATTTAAATACAAAAGAAAGATCTAGCCGGCCAAATATGTACATATATTGTTAACAGAGGTTTACCTGTGGGGAGTGATTTACATGGGAGGTCTTTTGTTTTTCACTTTATACACTTCTGTAAAGTTTGATTTCTCCACAATGGTCAGTGTTTAATTTTGCTATTACAAAAATAGAGATCAAAACATTGCTTCTCAAGCTGTGTCTGAGATCCGAGGTCTGAGCTTCTTCCTCTCACCCTTTTCATTTTCTAAATTTCAGATTGAGAAGAACAACAAACAGGATTCTGGCCTCCTCTTGCTGTAGCAGTAACATTTTAGGATCGGTGAATGTGTGCGGCTTTGAACCTGATCAAGTGAAAGTTCGAGTGAAGGACGGAAAGGTGTGTGTGTCGGCTGAGCGGGAGAACAGGTACGACTGCCTGGGATCGAAGAAGTACAGCTACATGAACATCTGCAAAGAGTTCAGCTTGCCCCCGTGTGTGGATGAGAAGGACGTAACGTACTCCTACGGCCTTGGCAGTTGCGTCAAGATCGAGTCTCCTTGCTACCCCTGCACTTCTCCCTGCAACCCCTGCAGCCCCTGCAACCCCTGCAGCCCCTGCAGCCCCTGCAACCCATGTGACCCTTGCAACCCGTGCTATCCCTGCGGCAGCAGATTCTCCTGTAGGAAGATGATTTTGTAAAGTGTAGGAAGCTATGACTTAGTGTAGAAGTAGTTACTCCAACCAGGCAGCTCTTCCAGTGTTTCTCTTCCCCTTCCCAGGCTCTGTAACTTTAACACATAGGAAACTGAATACATAACTGCAACCCACTGGTATTGTGTACAAGTCTTTTGATTCAATCCACTGTGGAGCCCTGCCCAGTTACAGGGCATCAGAGGAACTGAGGGGTGGGAACCGAAGAAAGTGAGATGTGCCTTCCTGTGTCCTCCTTTACGCTCGGCTACTGCCAAATTCCAGGAAAAGATATTCTTTTGGTGGGCATCCCCAGACACTGTTTTTCCAAATGGTCCCATGAAATGACCAAGCCCAGAAGTCAAACCCTAAGGAGCACTGGAGAAGACAAACTGTTTGGGGTTTTACTGGGCAACAATCAAGTAGAGAACTATGGTGCAGCCTGTTCACCGACCGAGGGTGGGGTGCCATACAGCTTCTCGACTTGCCCATGATTTGGGGGAATGGCTAACTCTGGTTCAGAGTGGTTTGCAACCTCCTCAGGACTTATTTGCTTTTCTCAGTTCCTAAAACTCCTTTTCAGGCACAGAAGTTTAGTTCAAAGTTCATGAGTGGAGAGTCCAGCTTTCACAAAATGATGGTGTAGTTCACCAGAACTTGGATCCTCATGGACATGGCCCATGAGCCGCTCTTGACGGCCAAGACAGAAATGAGGAAGAAGGAGATGGGGGACGGGGTCAGAGGGAGGACACAGGCTGGTTTCAGACTGAACTCTTACAGGGACCAGGAACACTCATGTTTGCACAGTAAGTCTTGTCTTTAGTCTCAGCTGCATGGGGTTAAAGCAGTGGATCAGCCTTGGTTGCATGAGAATCACTTGGGAGTTTAAAACTATGGATGAAAGAAAAAAAAGAGGAAAGAACTTAAAAAGGAAAATAAATGTTAAAAAAAAAAAACGGAAAAAAAATACTGATGCTTGGGTCCCATCTCCGGAGATTCTAATGTAATACATTTGAAATGCACTCAAGGCATCGAGACCTTTCAAAGCCTCCCCAGGTAATTCAAACATGCCACTAAGTTGAGAAACTGCCTTGGATCTTAAAGCTCTCCTAGCCTTTTTTCTTTAAGAGCTTCCTTTAAGTTCAAGGTTAAAGAATACTGATGGTGATAGCAGACATATTTTGCTTTCATTTGAGGGAAGTAATGGACCTCTAATATAGGTGGTGAATACAAACATTGAACATTAAAAAAAAAAAAAATTATTACCTGTTCATAAATATTCTAGTTTCTAAATTACAGGTTTTTAAAAATGAATTTGAAAAACTACCTGGTGTCCTCCATGGAATCCCACTGAGGTCTCGAATAAGTAGGAATCTGTCTTCTGGGAGGCACCGTTCCAGGGCATATCCACTACTTCTTTTTTTTAAATCCTCACCCAAGGATATTTTTCCATTTATTTGCAGACAGAATGGGAGGGAGGGAGGGAGAAAAACATCTATGTGAGAGAGACACATCAATTGGTTGCCTCCCGCACGACCCCCAACCAGGGCCGGGACCAAACCACAACTGAAGTACGTGCCCTTGACCAGAACCGAACCCTCAACTCCTTGGTCCTCATGCCAACGCTCCAACCGTTGAGCCAAACCAGCCAGGGCACCTGCCTTATTCTTTTATTCACCCACTGACCTGCTCACCCTCCTGTTAAGCCAGCAATTCATTCATCCAATTCGCCATTTTAAAGGCCGGATACTGTGCTCTGTGCAGCGATGAAGAGACAAAAATACCCTTTGCACAAATGCCTCAAATTAAATTTAAGGAGGGGTACTGTGGAGGGAGTGAGGGAGGAGGGAGTTCCAAAGACACTGAATTTACAAGGGCTAGGAGAGGCCAGAGGGGCCTTCCAGACAGGCCCTGGGCATTTCTGTGGAATGCATTGCTGACATCACTGCCTTGCAGGACACCGCGGGGAAGCCAGAGGCTGAGCCTCGGCGCAGAGCCTGGCCCCTGGTGGGCTGATTGTCTGAGTCTGCTCACACTCTCACTGGGAGAGACTTGGTATAAAGGCAAGTGTTTATCTACTGAGTATCTGCTATGAGCAAAACACAGCGCCAGGAGCTGTCGTCAACGAGAAGTCCCTTTCCAGTAGCTTCTCAAAGTGAAAGCCAGACTAACACCTGCGATGTCATTGTTAGGGAGCTTGCAGTATGCAATCACGAACTAAGTTGTATGGTGTGGCTATTAAGTGGCCCCCAACATCAGAGGATGTGTGTGGGAGGTGAAGCAAGCCAGAGGGGGCAGAACTTGAGTGTGGGCCTTTCTGAGTCCTTGAGTAAAGTCACAAAGCAGGGCTTATTCCATGAACTAACTGGGCTCCTGAGAAGGGGGAAGAGAGTGGTTACAAGGGAGGAGAAAGAAGAAACATTTGCTTCTTCCAAAATTGTCTGTCACTGGCTGGGTGGACCCTTGGGCTTGGACAGCTCTGCTGTGGCCTTTAATGCACTTGCAGAATTGAGTCCAACTGGGTCCAAGATGCCCTACTCCATCTACCAGCATGGGAGATAAGATGGGGAAACTGAGTCATGATGACTGGAGTCAGCAGAGGCAAGAAATTGGAACAGAGGGTAAGAAGGAGGTGAGGGAGGCTCTGAGCCGCTTCACTGCCCAGCATGTTGTAATGACTGAACATATACATTAAATGAATATACCACCTTCTAATAAAAATGCTTAGTAAATATTATAAAATTATGGCTGGAGATAAAGATAATTATACTTCTTATTGAACATGAAACACTTTCTGGAGCTGAAGAGTTGTTTAATAGTATCATAAATAAAAAGCTTCCCAGGTACGGGATTGAGGGGAATCCATGCCCAATGGCTATCATGTATTGTTTGATTTCTTTCAAAACTCATGTAGTAAATTACTTGATAAAATGACATTAAAGAACCTCAATAGACTGTTCTCCAGTTATTGTAATTTTATTTAGTGAACTGGTCATGGCTCCAGAACTAGTAGAATAAGTAGTTTCAAATGATCTCAACTTATCTTCCCTACAGACATTCCTTCTCTCTCTGTCTCTATTTCTATCTCTGTCTGTTTCCCTCTCTCTCTCTTATATAAACCCTGTTGAGTGTCACAGGCTAGAAAAGTTTTGGACACTCTGATTTAGACTTTTGGTTGAAACATTCTAAAAGTTGGGTAAAATTGATACTGAAGGGGAGAAGGTGTTTCTGGGTGACCCAGATGGATTCAAGCCAAGTTTGTAGGGTTTGGGATATTTATAAGAGCAGAGTTCTCAACAGACTCCTGGATGAGTCACATGATTTGGGATCATGGCTGGAAATCAACTCAGAGGTTACCTTCAAGGAGCAACTGCTTTTAATGCCGACCCGGAAGCACATCTCTGCAGTCTGGGGATGTACAGTGAGTATTGGTTCCTATCTCTAAAGTTATGAAACAAAAACGAAATACATCCACTGCTTAGGCCTCTGCATCCTGATGAATGTCTGAAATCCGACAGTCAGACTTAAGTACTCTTCTCCCTAAACAGTCCCAAGCCCTGGTACCTGTATCAGCCACACCAAGCTCAGAAACCTGTCCCGCCACACCTTGATGGCTCATGCACCTGGCCCTTGACAGATGACAAAGCCATGATTCCAGTGCCTTGAGTGTGCTTCAGAGACTGCGACAGTCCTAGGAAGAGTCCTAGATCCAGGATGCCAGAAAGGGTGGTTAAAATCCAGCATTCACTATTCCTGAGGCAACTGGTCCACCACTGAGATGCTCTTCCCAGTGGGTCACCTTTCTCTCAGCGCAGCAGCGAGCTCCCCCACTGGGAGGGGCATGACGCCACATGGTTGAAGTAACTTCTGCTCTTACTGGAATGGGGATCACCAAGCACTAGAACATCTGGAATTCGTGGTCTGGAAAATCTGAAGGGAGATACTCCTTTTCTTCAACTACAACTTCAGTGGTATCTGTATCTTCATACACTAAGGAATTGGTCTGAGAAGAGTTCTACTCTGGTTACTCTGGTGAAATTTTTTTCTTTTTGGTGTAAAACAACCTTTTTTTTTTTTTTTTTTTTTTACATTCATGAATCCATCGATTAAAAATTCAGAGAGAGTATAGTGGGGATGCTTTGTCTTTTCTCCATTTGGGAAGAGCTAATTGGCTGGAACCTTCTAGAGGCTTCTTCACTCACTGTTTGTCATCTGGACTGGGATGACTCCAGAGCTGGGGCTGCTGACGTCGTCTTCTGATCTGTAACTTTAGATGAAAAGTCAACAGTGGTGTAGAAATCAGCATACTTCATTATATACCAAAAGAAATACTTTTATTGACAACATAAAAAGAATCATAATATTCGGCATTAAAAATGTTTCCTCTAATGGAACATTCAAAATTAATACTGCATTAGAAAAGTACACAGTGTGGTCACCATGTCTGCCTGTACAAGCAACTACTGTCAGACGCACTTGAACAAGCTTTGTTTCCTGGTTTTTTCCCCCATATGTTTGTGGTTTTTTTCATATGTCTGTGGTAACCATTTAAACTGAAAATGGATCAAGGTTTAGCGCTGGTTCTATAATAATGAGTATGAATCCCAGATTCTCTGGGACAGCCCAGATTGCAAATGACTGTATCCTGGTTTGGGGATGGGAGCATGGGGACCACAGGTGTTGCCTGTGTGTGGCCGGGTTTCCTAGTCCAGGTATTGAGGGGCAATAGCACAGATCACAAGGATAACGGCCTGAGAGCAACAGAACAAAAGGGCACAAGAACAAAACGGGTGTTTGAGCCAACCCGGCGGTGCTCGGAGAAGCACGCAAAGGTGGCAGGCAGGGAAGCTGGAGGCCAGGATTTGTCTGGGCAAAACAACTTGATAGTGGATTAGGTGATTTTCTTGGAAGAGGAAGTTCGTTTTCTTGAGTCAGCTGCTTAATCACCTTCCAGTTCCATCAGTGTTGAATGTTTTTAGCCCTTAGAGCCTGGCCAGGGGCTTCTGAGTTGGTTTCACTTCTTAGAAAGGGGGTAGATTCTAGAAAAGTGAGCCTCGAGGACTCCTTTGTGGGAGAAGCCTTTTTTCCTTCTTCACGTGACCCACGCAAGGGCCAACTCTGCGTCTGGCAGCC